TCATTTTGTGAAATACATTGAGGTATTTCTGTACCACAGACTGATATAAAGGACTCTTCTATAATTTTGTCAGTTACCACCTTTAGAATTTGGTGAGAGAAGGGAACAAAACACAAAAAAAACCCCAACCACTCCCCCAAAAATATCCAATTTTTCACATTTGTTACCTGCAAATTTTTTATCTGCTAATGCATTTTCCCAATCTCTCTGTTGCTGCAGAAGCCACTCTCTTGACTGCTCCTTTTGAAAATCTGACCGCTGAGCTTGGTTTAAATCTTCTCCTAGAAACATCTGCAAGCCAGACACAGTACATCGAGGGTCACTGTCAGAAAGGCGAGCAGGAGTATCTTTCTTTAGGCCTTGTGGATCAGATAAGTCAAATTCACGCCGAGTTTCTGGCTTCTGAAAATTTTGTTGAAACTCTGCAAGAGCTTTATTTAGGTTTCTGATGTCTTTCCTCTGTCGTTTGTCTAATATACAGGTGATCTTGTCATTTTGCTTCATCTCACCAGCTAAATATATACATTTTAAAAGTGAAGATTTCAGTATCAAAATATAAAGTCATGTAAGAAGAGTCTGACTTTGCAAAAGACAATAATAAACTTTTATATATGATTACAGTCCAGTAATGTAAGGACAATGCTGATGTTTTCTAAAGCTGATAGTAGCATCCAAATATGACACCTTTAAACGGTTTTTAATGGGTCACCTTTTCATTAGAAGCATGATCAAAAAGATAATAAAAGCAAGGGATAAAACTGGTACTAAAGCTAGATGGCTTTATGCTACATACAGTAATGTTGCTGCAGCATAAATATGAAGTACTCTATAGCATTTCCCCAGCACAGGGGTAGGCAGAACACAGCACGCAGGCTAGACTTTGTGGGGCCCGTGGCAGGTCCCAGTCCCACCTGGGCCAGGCACTGTCCAGCAGTGGTGTGTTCTGCTGCGCCTGGGTATGCAGTAGGGCTGGGGCAGCTCTGCAGTGGGACTGACTTTCTAGGCAGACCAGGTGGTGGCAGCTTCTTCTGGCTGCTGCCACCGCTGGCCTGAGCCCCAGCAGGGACCCATGCTGCACAGCCCTGACCCTATGTGCCCCGCACCGGCTCCGGACTCACCCACCCAGGCTGAGCAGTGGTGGCACAGAACAGAAGCTGTTTCTCAGCTTGGGGGAGAAG